CCCCCCCCCCCCCCACACACACACACTAGAAGGTAAGCTTCAGGAAAGCAGAGACTATTTTTGTGGCATTTACTTTTCATTCTCAAATACTAAAAAAATGCCTGGCAAAAAAAATTGTTGAATTAATGAATAGACAGTATTACTCAAAGTATTCTAAGTTATTGGGAATAATACCCCATTTCTTTAGACTGCTATAGGTCTCCCCCAGGACTGAGGTAGACTCTGAGGATTCAGCAATTTGTAAACAGATTTTTAAATGCCATTATATGCCTTCCTTCATTATGATTTCTCTTCACTGTGTTGGGGGGAAAAGCACAGTATTAGTTTATGTTTTTAATCTGAATTGAGTGGTACAAATCCAGATTACCTATACAACTGGAAAAAAAACTAGTGTTTGGCTGGAAGAGACTTTTAAATAATCATGACTCTTCCATTATGGTATCAAATTCATGTAAGATAGGCAGTTTAGCTGAAAAACCAAACCTCACACTATTGTTAATGAAATGAATATCCTATCCACACCCCTTCTGGTGGAAATACAAAACAGGTGCAGTGCAGTCTTCACTTTGAGTGAGGTTCAGCATAGTACCTGTTATAAAAGTATCTGATCTGTAAAATCAGGCTGGGTGTTTCATGAACAGAAAATAATGTTGATTTTATGCCTCTATCTCTGGATTTTTTTTGAAGCTGTGGAATAGTTTGACATCAGTAAACTAAAGAAGAGATATTTAGGCCTAAACTCCACTCTCTGTTCCCATGCTTCTTCTATTTTCCCTTGTTTAGCAAACGAAACATTTAGAGGTTAGCTCCTGCCTGGCTCTCGGAGGCACTGACCAGGTTTCGCTTGTCTGTGCCTGTAGCGAGGCTGCCCTCCTTCTCTGAGGCTGCAAGCCTGAACAAAAACACTGGTTCTTATATGAACACAGAATGCCCAGTATCCTCTTGCTCTCTCTCTCTATTCCAGAAAGTGTGTTTCTGTGTGAATCTGTTCAGGCTAAAACAGGCATTCCTCATATTTTGTTAATAAGCCTGACAGCTCATTATGTGAAAAAGAAATTGCTTGAAAAAACAGTAATTTTGCATAAATTCAACTGAGCCCTCCCTTGGGCCATCCACAGTTTCCATTTACTAGGATTAGAGTTATTTTCTCTTGAGCAGCGGGAATGAGGGCACCTCTGTCAGAACAGACCACGAACGCATTTCTCCAGCATCTGGAAATCAGCCTGGTTTATTTCTGGAGAATGCAATACATGGAGGCAAAGATGGCCCAGGGTTAAAAATCAAAAAATGTAGTTTGATCTAATTTTGCCCCTCCTTTGATTCATGAATCTGTCATGAGTTAAGTTCCATCCTCAGAGCTGTACCTTTTTATGTCTATGTGGGTAGATAAAAAGAGAACTACAGGCCTGACTGTATCTGCAGCAACATAACTTTTTATTTGGCGGCCTATAGATTGTGCTTTTAGAGCCCTCTCTAGGGTTGCCAAGTGGAAGACCATGAGATGGTTTTCATTATAGGATCTTTCTGCAAACGTCATTCAGGATGGATCCTTTTGGGATGAGGCACTTAGGAATCTCTATGACATCAGTACTCCTTGAAATCCAGGGAGTGATGTGGGAATAATAATAATGTTTGATTTACAAGTATGTCCTAAAATCGGTGATAAAGGAGCAGGAGTTAATGAGTTCTATCTCTCCTCCTCAGAATTCCCCCACTTTCTCATATGTCCAGGAAGCTAATAATATCACATCAATTCAGGAGCAATTTGGGGAACAACTAATATATTCCACCCTTCTGTGGTCTTGCCTAAGGCTTTCTAAAATTAACTTCCTATTGCTCTATTTAGTATGGGGTCCCCATTAGAAGTGTTAGAATGGCTGAGAGGCTGCTTTAGTTCTTTATTAGGTAAATCTATATGGTCATCGAAATAGTAAAGTTACCCCACATTTCTTTCAACATAATGAACTAAAGGTATATGACAGAAAAATTCAGAAAGGAAGGAAGGGAAAAGACTCCACTCACCTTTGTTCCTGGTAACCCTGGTAAGCCTGGCTCTCCTTGAGGACCAATGAAACCTGGTTCACCCTTTAAAAAGATGGGCGTATGAGATCATTATCACTTGACAGTAAGTCAGTAAAGTTAAACTGACTTCCTTCTACTGGGATTTTACTCCTTTGATCGCATCCAGCTTTCTTGCTGAGATCCAGCTACTGACTATGAAATCAATCTGAATAGCTTTTGATCAACGAGAATACTTTAAGCAAAGCTTTGGAGAAACTCTAGAAAGTAAAATTGGAAAACCAACTAGATAAATGTCTTTATACTTTTCTTTCTCATCTGTTGTCCAGTGCTCCTTACCATTTACCAAATTCAATTACTTGATTATATTTGGGCAACTTTGGTAGGCAGCTTCTATGATAGGCATGAATGATCCCGCCTCCTGGTGCTTCTGTGTATGCCCTCTGCTGAGTACAGACTGGATTTAACCACTCATATCTAATGAACAGAATTTGGCAGAAGTAATGGGATGTTACTTCTAAGTTATAAAAAGGCTGTGGCTTCCATCTCGGGGGCCCTTTCTTGTTCACTTGGATCACGTGCTTTGGGGAAAGCAAGCTGCCATACTGTGAACAGTCCCGTGGAGAGGTCCATATGGTAAGGTCCGAGGCCAGCCAACAACCACATGTGAGAGCTTGGGAGCGGATGCTCCACTCAGGTGAAACCACAGCCCCGTCTGACAGCTTCACTGCATCCTCGTGGGAGACAGTGATCCAGAGGCACCCAGCTGAGCTATGCAAAAATTTCTGTTTCTCCAAAAATGTGAGATAATTGTTTGTTGTTCAAAGGCACTCCAGTTTGGGGGGCAGGGGGGTGTAATTATGATATGCAGCAATAGATACCTGAAAGTTACATGTAGCTAGGAAAGAGATTCAGGAATGTTCAGCAGGGAAGAAAAAACATCTCTCCTTGCCCTACTTCCATAACCTCTTCTCCACTTGGAGGAAACCCAGTTGTGGTATAATAAAAAATATATTTGGTCTTCTTCCTAGTTCCTTGCACAGAGCTCCTAAAACTCTTTGAATTTCCTGAGTGATAAGAGTAATGGGAGCATCTTTTGTTATTGTTAACAAGCCCCTTTCAAACATACCCGACTTCATGCTACTAAAGTGACTCTTGGTGGGCCCCTTGATAGCTTCAGGATGGGGCTGTGATAAGAAAGTGGAAACTTTCAGCCTTTCCCCTCCTCTCACCATCTCCAGAGAGGGCAGAAAGGCTGGAGACTGAGTTCAATCACCAATGGCCAATAACTTAATCCATCATGCCTACAATGGAACCTCCAAAAACCCCTCAACAAAGGGGACTGGAGAACTTTCAAGCTGGTGAACACTTCCACATGCTGGCAGGATGATGCACCCCAACTCCAGGGGGACAGCGGCTCTTGTGCTCGAGACCCTCCTGACCTCACCCCAGGTACCTCTTTGTTTGGCTTCCATTTCTATCTTTTATAATAAACTGTAATAGTAAGTATGGCATTTTCTTGAGTTCTCTGAGTTGTTTTAGCAAATTATCATACTGGAGGCAGGGTAGGAGTGGGTGGTTGTGAGTACCCTTAAATTTGTAGTTAAGTCACATAGAAGTGCAGGTAACCAGGGGACCCAGTTCCTGTGATTCACGTCTAAAGTGAGGGCAGTCTTTTGGGACTGAGCCCTTAAACCTGTAGAGCCTGATGCTAACTCTGAGTAGTTAGTGTCACAACAGGATTGAGTTGTAAGACACACAGTTGGTGTCAGAGAATCAGAGTTGGATAATCAGTGTTGGAAAAGACACCACATACTTGGTGTCAGGAAACACCTGAGACCAGTGTTTATATTTTCTTGAATGTCCATGAAGTTTTATTTTCTTTTAAAAAATGTGAGCTCAAATGTAAGAGAGTCTAATTTCCTAAAATCTATAATGAAGTTTTAAAGCAAAAAGTGTAATGGATCAGTTCCCATATTTCCTGTGGTTTTGTTTTAGTTTTAGTTTGCCCCCACTGGATTATTTCTGGAGCAGTTGTTAATGTTGATGCCTTTGATTTTTTTTCTAAGGTAGTGATATTTCAACATTTGTTTTTCGGTACTTGGAGATGAGTTTTTAAAATACACTATATAAAAGTGGGTATTGGGTGAGCAACAAACTGATATCACCACCACAAATGTATCGTATTGACATGTAACTCAAACAGATTTATCGATGGCTCTGATGCCCATGGTACTGGTTTAAGACAGAAACAAGGTGGAGGGGATCTAATGCTCTAGGTTTATTTTTTGTGAAATTTCTATAACTGTATTCTACCTATCACCATACCCTTACACATATTAGAAAGAAGAATCTGAACAAATGATTTTGGGTAGATCTCTTAATGGTCTAAAATGAAAATCAACTATATTCAGAGAAATCATGATGACTATTCTACTTCTTGTAAAAGAGTTTAACTTGTTATTTTAAACAAAACAAAAAAACCCCCATAAGGAATACATTTATTTACAAGTAAGGTATTTCTCCCAATAAAATTATATGTATAAATATATAAATATTCCCTCTCCACCCTCAAGACAAAAAGTTGTATTAAAGTCAATGTGAATCATTAGCAATGACTTACTGGCATGGAAACATAATGCAAGTTAATAGGTTGAAAGTTTAGATGTAGACAAGACTCTTGCATATCTTCAAGTAGAAATAAAATGATCTCACTGTTTAGCAAAGCAAGTAGAAGAACTATTAAAGCATAATAATAAAAGAGAAAAGGCAAATGCTGCAAAAATGTATTTCTTATTCATGTTAGTGTTTAGTTTATAAAAAGATGAAGCATGCAGTCTCATATTTCACAAATAAACAAATAAGGCTTTGTGATCTAGGTAGCCAGACAAAAATGGTTTTTCTTCATTTTTTGAAAATAGAACATATATTAAATTCTCCTGAGTAAATGTAAAAATTTCCCTTAAACAGAATGGTCAGAGGAAAAATTTAAGAAAGCATCTACTAGATTTATATGCTTATTTATTTCAATTTATTCAAGGGGAAAATAGCATACTTAACTTTAGGATCACAGACTTAGGTTTATTTAATTCCAGAGCTCTTGGTAACTTTAGAGACAAGAGTCCATCCTCTCTATGGGAAGGAAATAATCATTGGCCTCTTCTTTGTCTCAGGCTTGAAAGACAATTATTGAAGTAAATAAGGCATAATTATGTCTTCTCATGGTCCTGATTGAGCTAGTTGGACTGTTTCTTACCTTCCTAAGCTTATAGCAGAGCCTTTTCACTTACCCTTGTTAGTGTACAGAGTAGGAAAAGTTCATTGATAGGTTTCAGATTCCACATGTTCCCTAACCTTTAAAAACTGCCACCTGCAGAGTTTAGGATAGTATCCAAGAAGAATACCCATCATTTTATGAAAAGGCTTTATTAAAATAATCTTCCCTTGTACAATTACATATCTGTATAAGGCTGGTTTCCCTTTATGTTTCAACCAAAACAACAAATTGCAACAGATAGAAGCAGAAGCAGATATGAGAATCCAGCCATTTCCTATTAAGCCAGACAGTAAAGAGATTTGCAAAAAACAAAAAAATAGCAATGTCACTTTTCTTCCTTTTTTCAAAGATTCAGTCATCTTTCACAAAACATGTTATTTAATTAATACATAATCAGTTTTTAACATTTCTGGGTTTTAATTTCTAGTACAGAAATATCAATAGATATAACCTACATAAACTCTCTCAGTCCTAATTTGTAAGTGTGTAAAGGGGTTTGAGACAAAAGCGTTTGAGAACTGTTGGTACAAATGTACAGAACTGAGTTAAAGCCTGGCTTTGCAAGCTGGAATCTTGACCTGCCAAATAATGGAAGATTCTGGCACCATTATGGGTGGCTTCATTAAGACTTATAAGATAATGCAAGCAAAGCACTTAGCACTGTCTCTAGAATCAACTAAGTGAACAATAAATGTTTGTTATTATTATTGCCTTTATCTATTGGCTCAAACATTTTAGCTATCATATTATTAGTAGGAATAGTAATAGAAGTATTATGCCTCCTCAACTAATTGGTGATATACAAGGTGACTGCTTGTTTCTTTACAACCTGAATGGGGCTAATACCTCTTCAACTTCTTTCAAGAAGTAACCCTAAATTTTCTTATGTGAAGATATCGCTTTATGACATAATATCCATCTGTTAGAGCATTTAGGATTTCAAAACCAAAAGTGGGTAAGGTAGAGCTGTGACAGGTTTCCTATGAATGAGTTTTCATCTTGTAAGGAACAGAAAGAAGAAAATGGTCAGACCTATTGAATTTCCCTACATAAATCTAATCCTGAAAAAAAACCTTGCCACTTTGACAAGGACTTATGTAGAGTTTAAAGGTTACAGAATCTCCTAAAATGTCTAGTAGAGAGGTTATGACAAGCTACAGTTCTATAAATATTTTAATGTGATAAAAAAAAGCAAGTGGTTATTCTCCTACAGTCACAATGCCAATTAACCAAAAGAGAGGAAGGAGACTGGATCAGTAGAAGGCAGAGGAAAGCAGCTGAAATATGACTCAAACACAAAACACTTTGGGGAAATCATCTTTGGAGTAAAGCAGACTACACAAAAATGAGGCTATGTAAGTTTCCAGGGCAATAAACAGAAATAACTATTTATATTGGACTATAAAATGATTCTCAGACCTGTTTTTACGTATCTAATCTCATTTAGTCAGTGGGAAACTGGAGACTGCTAAATTGGAAATTATTCATACGTATCTGCCTAAGTAGACAGGTGGGAGCGAGATGCGATAGAGAAAATGGGCATGGTAATGAAATCGAGCTCTTGCATTACTTTTAATGAAGAAACAACTAAATCTAGAGGGCTTTTTTTTTTCTTTTGATTTTTTTACAAGGCAATTACCTGAATTAGAAAACCCTAATTATAATTTCAAAGAGTCCCTTTAGGAATAGCATGGGAAACAGAAGGCAGAGATCCTTTTTGAAAAGGGCAGGGACAGGCCACCACAATCAGGGAAACGTGGATTCACGCAGGTAGACAGAAAGTAAAATA